GTATTTACCACCATTATCAACTTTGACACATTTTAACTGCCTTCCAATTTCTCTTTCAACTTTCAAATGAAAGTCTTTAAATACTTCAAGCACCTGATCTTTAGACTTCAAAGATTTTGCAAACACTTTTCTAGAGTGATCATCAATAAATGTAACAATAAAATGCACCACCTAGAGATTTACTTTGCATCATGCAAACATCAGTATGAACTAAATCAAGAATATGAGTCTTTCTAGATGCAGGAAATCTATGAAATGCAACTCTAGTTTGCTTACCAACTAAGCAATGAGTACAAGGAATAAGTGATGTACCTTTCACGTTATGTAAGAGCTTCTTTCTAGATAGAATTTGAAGTCCCTTTCACTCATGTGGCCAAACCACTATGCCATAGCTCAGTAGAGGCTTTATTTTCAGTAATATTCACATTTCCATGAATTAGTTTTGCTTCTGTTTTGTAGAGACCATTAGTCTTCTTCCCTCTGGCTAAAACAAGAGAACCCTTTGTAAGTTTCCAAGAACCATCTCCAAGGTGATTATGATAGCCTTCTTCATCAAGTTTTCCAACAGAAATCAAATTGCAGCGCATATCAGGAACATGTTTGACACCCCTGATAAATAACTTGCTACCAATACTAGTTTCCAACTGTACATCTCTCATACCAACAATTCTTGCTTAGCTTCATTCCCATCCTGATCCAACCAAAATCGCCACTGGTATATGATGAAAAGAAATCCTTACGTGGAGTAATATGAACAAAAGCTCCTGTATCACCTATCCAAGTAGAATTCTGGCATGAAAGGCTAGCAAATGCTTCATCACAAGCAACAAGTACCTCTACATCAGATGCAACTACTGTGATCTCCTTTTGTTCTTTCTATTCTTCACCTTTCAATTTAAACTGCTCTCTTTTCCATTTCCTGCACTCCTTTTTAAGATTCCCCAGATTGTCACAATGATAACATTTTATTCTTTTTCTTGACTTTGAGCTTCTTCTAGACTTGTCACGACTGTCATCACCATAAGGTTTTCTACTTTGGTCTCTCCCCCTTCTTTTTGTAAAAAGTGCTTTAGAGTTAGAAGAAGCACCTTGCTCCTTTCTTCTGGCTTCTTCATTAAACATACTATCTTTCACCATGTTGACAGTGATCACACCATTTGAAGCTGAATTGCTCAGAGAGACAACTAAAGTTTCCCAACTATCTGGTAATGAACTCAACAGAAGTAAAGCCTGCACCTCACCATCTAGCGTAAGCTTCATGGTAGTCAACTCATTCAACAACTCTTGAAAGCTACTCAAGTGCTCTACAACACTATTATCATCCATGTACTTTAAATTCACAAGCCTTCTAATCACAAAGGCCTTGTTCTGTGCGGTCTTTCTTTCATAAAGATTTTCCAATTTCTGCCAAAGACTGTATGCATCTACTTCTTTGGCTATATGATGGAAGACACTCTAATCAACCCATTACCTAATTTGTCCAACAACCTTTCTATTCAATTTCTTCCAATCCTCGTCAGTTTTAGAATCGGGTTGCTTGCCATTCAATTCAATGGGATCGAACAAATCTTTGCAATACAAAATATCCTCCATCCTAGTCTTCCAAATAGAATAATTGGAAGATGTGAGTTTAACTATGCCACTGGCCGAATTTTTCATTTTAATTCTCACAATAATCACAGAGACTCAACCAAAGCTCTAATATCACTTTGTTGGGGATTGAACCAATAACACAACCAAAGCAGCAGAATACAATATCACAATCCCCTGTTATGCAGAATCAAAATGGTAGTAAAATAACACCGACTCCAACTCACACACACATTGGCAAAATTTGTAAAGATAAGAACACAAATATTTGTTCACTAGGGAAAACCTTCAACGTGAAGGAAAAACCCTGGGACCTAGTCCAGTTAAAGTTATCCACTATCAAAATAATGGGATACACAGTTAATCTTCTCCAAAGCACACTTTAGAGGCTACCAATACATCAAGAACAAATATATATTATTGGATATTAACAATAACATCATACTAAAATAGATACACACGCAATAAGGAGAAAATCTCACTAAACTAGTGTGTAGAACCCAGAGAAATGGAGAAAAATCTAGACGATCAGCTCCGGTCAAAATGTAGCTATCTTTGCCAAGAATAACATACTGAAATTTCAGCTTAATCGGATCATGGATAAATCTCGATCTTTGGCAAGACGAAACTGAAATAGCGTAGTCTCTCTCTCTCTCTCGTTCGATCTCTGTTTCAGAAGAAAATGAAGCTGCCTATTTTGAAAAGTCTGCTGCCCGTTCCCCCCCCCCCCCCCCCCCCTCTATCTATATTTGCCTTTGTTATTGGACCATTAAATGGGTTTAATTGGTTTGGGCTTTAGTGGGCTGCTAAATGGGTAAGTCCCTAAAGTGGAGGGAAAACCCAACATTTATAAATAATTATTATTTGTGAATGATAGTCCTAATTAAAGTATAAATATAGAACCTTGATATTTTAATAAAATATACACAATAATTTTATTTCTCTTTATCCTCTTCTCCTTTTCTCTCTATTTCGGACAAAAAGCTTATGATTTTCTTTATATGGAGCAGGTCACGCTGACATTGGGCTAAGGACAAACAAATGCAACTAAGCCCATTTTTAGTTACTTCCATGGAATGTTCAGCCTGGTTCAAATAATCAAATTCAATATTAATCCCTTTTTGATTTGGATACAATATTAGATAAGAATGCAAAATATAATAGATGATATTTTAATCACCAAACGAGCAGTAGGCCTTCGTAGTTACAATAAAGGGAAGAAAACATGAATAATTTTTTTTTTTCATTCTTAGTGTATCCTATAGTATTAATTTAAAATTGTCTCCTTCTTAATGCTGTCCAGATCAATGTACTAAACGTACTAAACACTAATATTATTCTAATTATTATCAAATGCAAGGTTGACTATAAGCTCATGTTTGACCCCTATTTTTTATTTTTTAAAACTAATTTTCTCAAAATTTATTTTCAACTATACATTTCATGAAATTCACAATTTATTTCAACGTTTTAATAACACATCTTATTAACTTTTATCAAAATCTATTTAAAATATGATTTTTAACGAAACTAAGCTGACTGTAAAATTAGTCAAAAAATCTGAAAACCTCCCGAGAAAAGGAGAAATATGTTTTGTAAAATGTCAAACAATAATTCTTAGTTTCAATTTGTAGTATCAAGACCGTTTTCTTAGGTCTTCTTTTGAGATTTAGTTTAAGGAAGCTGTCCTAACACCACTTTTACTTCTAGAAAAGAAATATTATAAATTATTCAAAGAAAATAAATATTTTAATACGATATTTTAAATGTGATAGTGCTACTCTTTGTTTTTCCACCATTGTCATTTCAAATTTTCAATAATAACTGGTGGGTTGTGGATAATGGAAAGAACTAATCTTCCACAAAAGATATTTCAAGGCCACTTTTTTTATTTAATTTGTAAATAAAACCCACAACTAATTTTCAAGCCATTATTTGTTCCATCAGCAAGAGCACCATTACATCTCTTCTCCTGATGTTGGTTCTTAGCAGAGAAAGAGGATCGCTTTGTCATTTTATTTATATAATTATAATGGCAAGTTGAATTTCCTTTTAAATTAGTCATCCACTTGTACTGAATGCACGAAACACACTGGCAATTCAAAACTCCAATTGTTAAATTTGAATGAGTCAAGTTGAAAATTTGTGTCCGGCACTTTATATTTTGGTGATAATTATATTTGGTTCAGATAAAAATCAGATTTTTAGTAGAATTCTATTAAAAAAAATAGTGGATTGTGATTGAGAAGTTACGAGTTTCATAATGTGCGGTTAAAGTTAATTATTAATTTTGACTTAGATTTTAATTAAGTTTTTTTAGTTGAACCAAGTAGGGGCCTAATAGGATATGTTACACACAACACTTTTTTAGATTTGGTAAATTAAATCACAAACAATTGACATAGACGGATCTATAAATGATTGAATAACAATAATCAAAGATACGAGAATGATAAAGACTAATCCATCTAGTATATAGAGGCAAACAACTTATCAAGATAATCAATCATTCGTAAACAGTATAGATTATACTTGAATGACTAACGTACAAAGGATGAGTTAGCGCGAGACTCCCCTCTAATATCCACTATGGTGCTGAAAACCAATTGCCAATATGTAACACAAATATTTTAAAATACAATATAGAAAAGTGATAATCGTCTTAATTAGTAATATTGAGGAAACAACAGATAAATATAATATAGAAAAGTGATAATCGCCTTAAGTAGTAATGAGGAAACTACAAACACAATTCTTAATCGACAATAGATTTCAACATTATGTACGAAATAATGAATTCAAACAAATGTTATTAATGTACCTACGGTGAACTTTTTTCAAATGTTAAATGTTTTCCTCATTATAGTGTGTTTATAAGGGGCACTATTTTAATAAACACACCATTTGGTTCAGTTAGAAAATTTGAATAAATTCAAGTCAAAGTCATTAACTAATTTCTATAATATATTTAATGGGACCCAAAATTTTTCAATCCCATGTTCGAACATTTCATCTATTTTTATAAAAAAAAATTTACTAAAAATACGACTTTTTATCTAAAATCAAATAGGGGCTATATTTAATATATTAATCTCTCTATCTTCTTAGATATAGTGCTTGGACAACAGTAAACTGGTGTTTCTTACCTTTACATTATGAATTGTTTAACTAAAAGGCACAAAGCTAATAGCATTCTATGAAATAAAATATGATTTCCAATTTATCTGTTTATCTTTTATTAGTGTAAATTTATCCCCTATTTGATTGGTTTAAAATCGATCTTTTAGTAGATTTTGATAAAATTAATAATATACGGTTGAAAAGTTGATAAAAGTTGTGAGTTCCATAAAATGTGTTGTTATATATAAATATATTAGTTATGGATAGTACTCACTAGGGTTGGTGTTTCTTTTATGTGAGCAATAAGAGAGCTTCAAATTATTTCTTACATTGAAGTTTTTTCAAGATCATGGATTTCTTTCTTCTCAAAAAGATTAGTCTCCTCTTCCTTCTCATTTCTGCATCACTTATGTCGATTTCCTTTGCAGGTAGGTTTATTAGAAACCTTTTGTCATTCTCTTAGTTCAGCCTCTTTCAAAAGGAACTCGTTTTTCAAATTCTTCTCAAATTTAAGTGTTCTGAGCTTCAAAAATATCGTGCATATATAAGTTTAACTCATGGTTCGAACTCTTTCTAGTCAACATCCTCCGAACTCTTCCAGTCCTTTAGTTTCGCCCACACGGAAAATTAATGATGCATCTCTTAGAAATAGCATCGTTTATTTTGAGGAAAATATAGTTAATGATGTTATAATTAGTTACACACACTTGGTCGTGAAATGGAGAGAGATGTATGATTTAATTTCTTGAGATTTTTCAAAATTCATCATTTTGCTACATGATTGTCATGCATAAAATCATTGTGTATTTTTATTTTTGTTGAACAATATTTTGTTGGAATATTGTAAACCATAAATCATAATCAAACCCTAAAACACTAATAGCATGTGAGACTGATTACAGAACAGGAAATTAATGAGTTTTTTTGCCCATATAGTTTGAAATATTTTTCTATGATGTTATGTCCAATTATCTCTAGTTCAATGTGCTAAAAATACCGTGTAGAATTCTTCCCACAATTTCGATTTTTGATTTGCTCGATTTTGCATACAGGTCGACTGCGTAGGTCAGTGAACACATTGGATCAGAAGCAAGCGAGTGTTGCTCATGAGGTCACTCACTGATCTCAATTAAACTCAGCAATAGAAATCCTTCATTTTTGTAATATATAAATATTTCGGGAAAAATGATTTGCTATATGCTGTGCTTAGTTTGCTAAGCGCCGATGACATAACACATCAATTCATTAATGGATAATTTTTTTGTGAATCTCAAGATTTGAATTAAATTTATTATTTATCAATGAATTGACATATCATGATCTAGTCAAGAGTTTTAGATTTGTATTGCATTAAATCATAGCTAAATATTGTCTACTAGGTTACACGTAGGGATGTCAACGAGTCGAGCCGAAACTCGTGGCTCGAGCTCGGCTCATGTAAAATATGCGAGCTTTTTTCTAAAAAATTAGGCTCGACCCGAGTTTTAGACTCGAGCCTTTCCGAGCCGAGCCAAGCAGCCTCGCTTTTTTTCTTTTTTTTAAGCTACCTTTTTGGTTTTGCTCTTTTTTTTTTTTTTTTTTTTTAAGGCTCACAGGCCAGCTCGGGCTCGGTTCTACCACCAAGCCTCGAGCAGGGCCGGCTTGAGCTTTTTCCAAGCCAACCATGAGCTAAATTGTCGTCCCTAGTTAGACGTCAAGTTCTGAGTATGCTATCTTATTCGGTAAGGTAAATTATATATAGAAGTTTAACAAAAGAGAAAAAAAATAAAACTAAAATCTCGCCAATTATAGTAGTGTTTATTAGTGCCTAACAAATGTAGTTCCTAGGTATTTGCTAGTATTTTTCTGAAATTTTTATATTACATCGAATAATAACTAAACTATTGTCTACACTGGTATATTTAGTAAGTTGAATTAGATAGAACCCATGATAAAGGAAGCAAAAGAGTCTAAAAAAATCTCATTGCTCGTATTATCCAATATTACGTACTAAACTTGCGTATAATTTTGTTGGTATTTTTTGTTAATAAAAATATTTTTTGACGCAGGAACATCATGGAAAAATGAGTGAAGTCCATGAAAGACTTTTGAGAGTGAACACCAAAGACTATGGAAGACATGATATCGATCCACCTCCAAGAATGGTCAGACCTCCTTTCAAACCCAACAGGGCTTCCAAACCCGTTCCAAACTGATCATATATCTTTTTGATCAGTGGTACTTGAATAAATAAAGTCTATTATATGTAAATATATTAAATTATCCTTATAGTATATATATAAATATTATATAACACACACACACGTGTGTATGTGTGTGTAAATATCCTATAATATATAAATATATATGAGTATGCTATGTTGTTGCCGTGTGTGTTTGTGTGTGTGTGAATATCCTATAATATATAAATATATGAGTATGCTATGTTGTTGTATATGGGTTTGCAAGCCAGCTTGATTATAGTACGTAGAAGATGGTGTGCATGCATGTGTATCGCTTATATACATATGTATGGAATGTTTGCATGTCAAATAGGTAATGTCTCGATAATAATTAATGAGATGAAAAATCTTGTATATTTTGCTTCCTCTTTTGCAATTGTACAGTTATATTTTGTCTTGAGGGGAATTATTTAGTTTCCCGACGAATATTAAGGGTTTTCTTATTTGTACACCGGTTGACACCACGGTGTATAGCCCCCTCACAATAGGGGCCGCACTCAATAAAAAAAATCACAAGCTCTCATATTATCAATCTCGGTGTAAACATAACAAAACCCATATTTTAAAGTAATATACGGGATAAATGTTCACTCAAGTTGTTATAGAAGCAACTGAGAAATGGATTCAAAACTTGAAACAACCAAACGACAAGAAATTATAAAGCCCCTGTTTTTGTAGCTAGAAATCAGATTTCAATAGATTGTGATATAAGTGGTAGATTTCATGAAATATGTAGTTAAAATTAGTTATTGATTTTGACTTTATAAAGTTTTTTAAACTACAACAAAGAAGGACAAAACATGACTTGCGTGTATTTACAAAGGTAATTAACTTGGTCGTATTCTGTTAAATAAAAATTTATTATTCTTTACCATACAAGTGATAATGCAAAGAAAACAATTCTGCCACTCAAGTAGCTTAGCATTGTCATGTCAACATTTTTAATACTAGTCATAGTTGAACGAGTGTTGTATGTTATATTCTGAAATGCTTTATAGGTGCTATAAAAATAATATTTTAAGATGTGAGTATATAAAAATAATTAATACAAATTATTTATGTGAAATGAACTTTTGATTCATATGAAATAAAACTCAGTTTGCGATGACAATTTAAATAATTGACGAAGTCAATTAGAATAGTCTCCCCATTTACTATTTTGATATGATCTAAACAGCCAACAAATAACATCATTTCTTCATATTTGCTTAATATGCATCGCATATATTAATTTAAATTATTTATTATAAAATGCTTATGCTCTCCCATTTTTTCTTCTTTTTATCTTAACATTCATTGAATAAATCAATTGGAAGAAAACTCAAAAATATTTATCTTTTGTTCCAAAGAATTTATTGAATTTAATTTACTATCCAATCAATTAGAATAAATTTGTCAAACATACATTGATAATAACTAAATAATTTACAAAATAATTCCTAATAATATTGTTCAAATGATTAAATAAATCAAGTACATATTGAAAAGCGAAAACCAAGAAAATGAATGTATCAAATGTACACTCATTATAATTAAATAGTTGACAAAATAATCAATGATAATACAGTTTAAATGCTTCAAATAATTAATAAATTAAATACATATTGAAAAACAAAAATGGGGTATTATTGAAATAATTAAATATATAGTGAAAAATAAAAAGTAATCTATAACTAAATACATATTGAAAATCGAAAAGTAAGTAATCTTGAAAATAATTGAATTATAGTAAAGATAGAATCGTTCAAAAAATGATTATCACTTGATATGATATTTAATATATTATAGATTATAGATATAAATTGGAAGGTAACATTTTTAGTATTGGACGAAAATATAGTATCATTGAAAATAATTGAACTATAGGATTGAATTTAATTACTATCCAGTCAAGTAGAACGCTTTCCTAACTTTGCTCTTCAATACAAGCAATTGAGAAACACACTTATAAAGATTTGTGTAATTTAAAGCATTGTTACATTTCAGGTAATTTTAAAGGAAAAGTCGGAACATATTTATACCCAAAAAACACACACACACAAAAGAAAGAATTGAAGTAAACAAAAACTTCTACACAAAGTTCTCATCCATACTTTGTTGAGTTGTTTACCTATGCAAAACGACAATTAATACACAAACAAAAACTTCAATACACAGTTATACTCCATCGTGTGCAACGATGTCAAATGGAGGAGTGAGTTCAGACTTTTCCGTAACCTTATCCGCGAAGAGTGGTGGAAGAGTGAGGTTTGACAGTGGTAGAGAAAGGGTTGAAGTGCTGGGAAGAGGAGGTCTAGTTGGTGGTTTCAAAGCTAGATCCAGTAGATCGGTAGATGCCAATGGTGGTGGCATCAGCGACATCGTGAGCACCGCCAGCGATGGTGATTATATCTCTGATGGTGGTTTGTTATAGAGAGAAAAGATATGATATATGGAGAGAGAGAGAGAGAGAGAGACGAAAAATGTTTGAGTTTGGAAATAAAGTTGTTAGATATAATTAAAATAGAAAATTACACCCCTCCCTACTTTTAAAGATCCGTGTTCTAAATCAGGTGAAAAGTTTCAGATTTCACAAATTAGATATTTCATTTTTAAATATTAAATATACAATTTTTCATCCCAAACCCTAAGCAATTTTCCCCTCATTTCTCTCTCTATATCTCGCTTTCACCTCGTCTCTCTTCACTGGAGCCGCCAACACTACCTATCGTCACTAGTTAAGTACCTCGACCGCTACAGTAGAGCCCTGTGTTTCCATTCACAGTGACATCTCGACACTATCCCTTAGATTTACGTTGGGTTCGAGGCACCATCGAATTGGAAACAACCCGCAGTTCTAGTTGTTTTTTTAGGCACCAACAAATTGGAAACAACATGCAGATCAGGTATCCGTTCTCTCCACCGGTCCTTGGTTCTGGTCATTTTCAAGCATCGGTGAATCAAAGATAACCTGTAGATCTGGTATTCAATTCTTTGGATCCAATTTTGTTTAGTGGCTGTGGTGGTGTGGTGATAGCGGTGGTGGTCGTTTAATCCCTAATTTCTGTGGTGATGGTTGTGGTGGTGAGTGATGGTGATGGTGATGGTGATGATAATGGTGGTGGTTGCTATGGCGATGTATTGTAATGGTGACTAATGGTCACTGCGGTGACGATGGTGTTGGCTTTGGTGAAGACAGTGCTCTGTTGTAGTGATGAATCTGTTGTTGTGCTTTGGTGTTGACAGGTTGTCATGAGGTGGTGGTAGCGGCGGCTCTCTTGGCGGAGGTGCTCTGTTATGGTGGTGGTGATAGTGATGGTGGTTGTGGCGGTCGTAGGTGGGATGAGATGGGGTTGGAGGCTTGCGACCAATTATTTGATTGAGTGTGATTAATAACTGGTTAATTTGTAATGTGACCTAAAAATTGTGATTGTGACTAACAATTGGTTAAGTTGTGATCGAAAAATTAATCTGGCTAACCGATCTAATAATTTGCAATGAATAAATGAGTTATGACTAATCAAAGTTTTGATTCCGTGACCGATAAATAATTCTTGACCTATAAAATTTTTTATTAGTGACCAAAAAATAATCAGTGGCCTATAATTTTTTATTTTTTATTTTTAATGATTGAGAAATAAGTTATGACCAATAATTTGATAAATTGTGACAAAAATTAACCTATGACTAATTAATGAGATAATCGCGACCAAATTATAAAGAATTATGACTTCAATATATTTAATTAGTAAAATACATATTTAATAAATTAATTTATAGATAAACATTTTAAATATCTGATTTTTGAAATTTGAAACTTTGTTTCTTAAATGTGCCATTAAAATTTTATTAATTACATTAATAATCTTATTTATTGCTTGAAATCTGAATTTTAAACTTAATCCTCTTATTTATGAAAACTAATTTTTAATGATAGGGTTCTAGGTAATTTTTCCAACATAAATCCATATAGCAGTAGTTGCATTATCAACCACCTATCAATTATAATCCGTATTTTATCACAAAAATAAATTTTTAAAAAAAATCATTGATATATTCTTTTGACTTAATCATGACAACTATTTTGAACTAGTAGGATTTTTCAAAACCTTGTTAGATACTAGATAGTAGATACCATTTATTACAGATTAATAATAATATTTAACTTAAAAAATGTAATAATAAATTGCATATAGATTTAAATTTTTTTTGAACCTAATATTATTCATAGTAAAAGCTCTAGTTTGGTAAAGTACTAAAGTTCTTATAATCTCGAAAGACCTTGTCAAAACAAGGGCTAAATCATATCGCATTTACTCATGAAGTGAACGAATTTGGGCTCGTTTGGCATTATTTTTGAAAAATCAAGAGGAATTTTTGAGATTCAAAAGTTGCTTTTAGACTCATTTAGCTAATTTTATAAAAAAAAATCTTCTGATCATTTTAAGAACTTTTAGATGAAATTGATCAGATGTTTCAAATTCCTGTAAAAGCACTTCAAAAAATAGGAATTTTGAAAATTAGTTTTCAAACAAAAATTCAGTAGGTTCCTTTAAAAATTCTTCTACAGAAAATAAAAGCAAAAAGGAAAAATCATGCTAAACGGACCCTTCCTTTTCCTAAAAAACTTCATTGAAAATAAAATATATTCATCAATAGTTAGAAGCTTCCATTAATCTACATTCATTCGATAATTTATAAGTTAAAAACTCATGTTCTAACGAACTATCAATCCTTTGATCAACATTAAATTCATTCATTTGATAAGTTATGAGATGAAAAATCGTTTGTTTGTAACCCAATTCTTTGATCATCATATTGTTGTACAATTTCCCTCTCTTTTCTAAAATCACATTAAGAATCATTCATATGACCTGTATTAACTTATTTCACTCCATTAATATGCATTTTTTTGTTACTTCTATACTTCTTTGTTTTCATCTATTTCATAAATAATTATTATTTGTGAATGATAATCCTAATTAAAGTATAAATATAGAACCTTGGTTTTTAATAAAATATACACAATAATTTTATTTCTCTTTATCCTCTTCTCCTTTTCTATCTATTTCAGACAAAAAAAACTCGTGATTTTCTTTATATGGAGCGGGTCACGCCGAAATTGGGCTACGGAAAAACAAATGCAACTTAAGCCCAGTTTGTTACTCCCATAGAATGTTCACTTCAGCGTGGATCAAATAATCAAATTCAATATTAATGCCTTTTTGATTTGGATAAAAATAGAATTTTTTTTTTAGATTTTAATAAAAGTTGATGAAATATGTGGTTGAAAAGTTAATAAAATTTATGAATACTATAAAATATTTGATTAACTTTAATTATTCTACTACTACGTTAAACTAGATAAGAATGCAAAATATAATAGATAATATTTTGATCACCAAATGAGTAGTAGGC